TTAATTTATCAGAAAAGTTCAGGCTTATTAAAAAACCTGGCTGTTGCAAGTCAAGAAAATCAGTTTCATCTCAACCAGCTGACCGATGGAATAGGCCAAAGTTGACTTTGAATAATGGTCAGGCTAAAATGGAATCAACTCCATGATCTGAAGTTAAAATCCTGCTAATGGTACCTTGACTGTGCACCTGTGCACAAGGCAAGGTTGCACTGTTCTGTTCTCAAAACATCCAGGGTGGCCTTGCATTTTGGTGCAGAAATTAGCACCTTGTGAACTCAGCTGTCATGCTGGATATCAGCGGGATATGAAAGATGCCATGTGAGGCTGCTGATATTCCAGGGCCGTGGGTATTGATCTTTGCTGGGTCAAGTGCGAATAGCCACTTGTAGGTTGCCTGGTCACAGGTTCCAGGCTGGCCCGCATTGGATGTTGGCCAGCCATTTGTCCGCCTCTGGGGATGAGTTTAATACTGAACTTGGTGAATCCTTTGACGTTACCCAAGCCCAATACAGTCAGATACATCACTGACATGTGACATGAAAAGGGACAGCGACATAAGAAAAGCAGAGAAGGGTCAGATGCATGACAGCCCTGGAGGATGCCACCCTCAACAGGTTCTGTGTGTGATCTATTCCATGATGCAATCAAGCAATGGCATGAAGGTTATATTTACTGAGTAGAGGGTTATGTTGGCTGTAGCAGTCTTTTCCTTTTCAATATAGCTGCTTTACAAGACACCAGCTTGTGGGGCCAATTAATGGAGAACCCTCAGGCTACCTGTTATGGTAACCTGTTTCAGGCCATGTGGCTTGCACCTCACTGTTTCCTGAGGCAGGTCAACTCCTGTGGAAGGGATGTGGGGATGCAGCCAGCTGGAGTCAGGATATGAGGGGGGGGGGGGGCACATAGTTGACTAAGGGTCCCCTGATCGTGAAAGGCTGCCAAAAGAGTCTCAAAAAGAAATCACCAGATATGGACCCCTGGAATTTGAGGGACTAGTTCTTTTAGTCTGCTCTCTTTTCACCCTTGCAAATGTAAACAGAAGCCAGGATCACCGAATTATGTAAATCTTTGTTTTTTAAGGACAGTTATCTGAACAAACCTCATGTGAAATGACTGCATGCAATAAACTGCTGGCATTATTGATTTCACAATGGCTCAGTGGACATTTTCTTAAACGATGCACTCGAGAAATCTGATGGATTTTTGGGGGCGTTGTACAGAGATATGAAGATTATGTGTGGGGCAACACACATTGCATGTCAAAATGGTGTAGCATTTTGTATTTATATGACCAACCTATGCACAACTGGAGAAAATCAACGTGCGGTCAGAATTGAGCAGTGAAATGGTTACATATGATAATTCTAAACGTGCATGCTGGCGAGTCTAGAAACAAATCCCGCGTGGCGTTGCAGTCTCGGTGGGCTGCGTGGCGTCTGCCCGTGGTTAACATAAGCTGGCGGCCACGGCACCGTGGAAAGCGATGGCGCATCAGAAAAAGTTGCCTTTGAACGCTGCAGTAACACGATACATATGTTTAGAAGAAAGCCTGGGCGTATATTTCAACTGTGAAATTTTTAGATTGATGATTAGAACAAACAAGCATTTACAGCAAACGGGTTCTGGCATCTGATAGTTCAACTGGGCAAGTAGAGGCAATTTTATTGTGTTGCTGTAAAACCACCAAGCTGTTCAGAGAACCTTCAATTTGTACAGGTGAAAGATGGGCGCCAGTGTGATCTTAAACGGTACGAATCAATTTGCAGCGACTTGGAAGCATTGGTTCACCTGCTGTTAGCTGCGGCGGCCAGCTTCGCCCGGTTTGACAGAAGCTGCTGCCTCAGCCATCAGTGTTCTTGGTTCTTAGATGGTGAGCACGGAAGCTCAGTATTCTAAAATGTCACTTGCTTTAATAGTTGATTCTGTAACAAAATATATGTCCTCAGTCAAACATGAGACGGTCTTTTTTAGCCCCCTTTCAACCCACCCTTTGGATCCATAAAGAGATCCCTTACCTTTTCCGGTCAAGGGGTCCCGTAAAATTTGTAAAGAGCACGAAGAAGCACATTGTCTTTCTCGGTCAGTGGCTGAAAGGCGTTCGTTCCTGCGTGGCGTGCCTACCAGCTAGCGTTTTTGCGACACGGGAGAGGTTATCTAGTCACCTGTACGCCCTTAGAGGGATACACCATTCATTGGTTCCCTGCCTCGCGCGGCAGGCTCTCTATACCGGGAATTGACGCCGGATCCAGGTGTTTTTTCGGCGCAGGTGTTTTCACAAAAAGATCCCTTATCGCTGCAGGGGATCCAATAATTGACAAAGTGGCTTCAGTTCGGCTTGATGTGCTTCTGGCTGAAATGGGACTGAGAGCCCATTCGGTACTGGGGCCCCTGGCTGGCACCAGGCCCTTCCATTGTCTTATTGCGGACTCTCTCATTGTACGTTCTTATATCTCCTTTAATTGTCAGAGGATCTGAAGAGCACGGGAGGCCCTCTGGCAGTGGGGGTCCCGCCTGTTCCCAGCATATATTCCACCAGCCGAGTCGGAATTCCCTGCAGAGGAACCCATCTTAACACGAATATGGGGCACCGGTCTTACTCCGGCTTGGGAAATAGGCTCCCAAAGCTCAAACGGACATGAGCCGACTGTTCGATACTGATAGCGCCTGACCGACATGGAGGCTCCATCGACTCAGGGGCCCTCCGATCGGGGTAAAAGGCCCTCTAACCAGCATTTGAGGGCCCGGCACCGCAGGTCGAGCCTCTTAAAAAACAGCCTCCGGCCAGCCCTTCCGCCCTCTCCCCCCCCCCCCCCCCATCAGGCACTCTCGTCACCTGACCGACGCCGGAGGCCGCGTTGGGCATGCCCCTGCCTGGGAAGTGGGCCCCAGGGCTCAGGCTGACCTGAAGCCGACCATTCGGCACTGGTGGTGCCTGGCCGACACAGCGGACCTCATCGACTCATGGACCTCGATCGGCGCAAATGGCCGGTTTTTTTTTGTCTAACTCGAGGCCCCGTCCTCTGATCCCTCGGTCCCTCGCGACCTAGGGGTTGAGGATGGGGGCTCGTATACCCTGTGCCCCCCCCCCCCCCCGCATGCGCCACTGGGTCCATGGCATATTTAAGCTTGGAAGAAATGTACCAAGAAAGGTGCTAGCGTCGTCGTGTTCAAAGCTTTTCTGGGATCCACCCCGGTTCGATGAAACTTCGGTATCCGTGCGGAATCGGAGTCCGCCGACGCCTTGCTCCAATGGCGCACTTTGGAAGCAACGGGAGTCAAGTACGTCGCGTTACCGCGGATGGGAGTTACTGCACTGTCTATTGGGTCACAGTCAGGTCTATTATACCTAAGACCCCTTCAAAATCTGTCCTCGAGATGGCCCGGGAAGTTATCACCCGCGGTAGAAGCAGAGGCCGATTAACAAAAGCCGATCATTTTTGAAGAGGAAGGCTGAAGCCGATGCTGGCACTCTTAATCGCATCTGGTTCGGTGACGAAGCCCTCTTGCACCTGAAATAGACAGTTAACAACCAAACTACTGGGTTTGGGTCTCGGACGTGCCAGACGCTGCTGAAAAGCCTGCTGCAGAGCCCAATGGTGACCGAATGGCGCAATATGGGCTCGAGCGGTGGGTGCACCACCGGCTGCACTGGGTCTTTGTCAATGTGTACACGGCTCCACGGCCACGTTCAACAAAGAGAGGCATGTTGACACCCTGAGACGCTTTTGGAGGTAGCTGGGATAAAACTTCTAGAGTGGAAAGGATAGTATCGTGTTTCATCATGATGGAGCGACTCCACGTCGAAGACGGCCGTAACCTGACGGGAGGTCCACCTTGAAGAGTGCGTCATCACCCCAAAGATGGCAATGCTTGGCCTGCTCACTTGTTGGCTCTGACCCCAAGATGTTGATGGGGTTTCCAAAATATCAGGTCTGCGCGAAGAGCCCTTAGCGCTTCGGTAACCCTCAGAGCCTCGGTGACCTCGGTGACCTGGGGTTGTCAGCCGAGTGGCGTGCAAGATCACGCTTGAAACGTGCGCAAGGGTTATCAGGGAAGTGGCAAGGTGCGTATACTCATGTTTCCTTTAAAAAGGGGATCACCTGAAGCACATGTATTAAAGTAAATTATGAGTGACAATCAAGTACAAATGGTGCACAACACGTATTTTCCTTGTGTGAAAATGTCTTACATCGATATATTTTCCAATCTGGCGGATGATTTTTGTGTTACTGACAAGTGAAATACACAGATTTTCCCCTTCGAACCTGTGCTTGAATGATCGACATCTTGTCATGAGTTTGCACATGTGCGGCTCAACTTATCAATTGTTATCAACTTATTGTTATCAATTGTTGTTATCAACTTGTTGTTATCAAATGTTGTTATCAGTTGTTGTTATCAACTTCTGGGGCACATGCCACATTGCTGCCATTGCTGCCTGTTCTGAACAGCACCATGAGCACTCGTGGACTGGCCATCATATCAGCCCGTGATGTTTCGCTTCAATGCGCAATAAGTGCACCCACGTCACTTCATCCAAAATTGATAGAGCTGGTGGCTTCGGATAACTTGTAAAGTAATGCCAAAATCTGGCAAATCATACGCCAGACCCAGGTCTACAGATGGAAACGGGATGTAGTGTTGTTTGTATGTGTTTTAAGCCACTAGTGCTATTTCAGCTGCTCATTGCCAGCATACGCAGGCTAATTACGGCCTATGAGTACTATAAAATACAGTTCATTCATTGGGTGGGGTTCACCAGCATCCGATCAAGCAAGTTGTAGTATGTGTCAGTGTACTTACCTTGATGTGCTTGTAAAGCATGTTGATGTTATTCGGGTGCATGCTTTTGCAATCTGCGAAACAAGTGGTTCAACTGATCATTTTTAAAGATCGTTTGAAGAAAGGAAGCGTAAGTCGAAGTGACGTTAAAAATTGGAATGTGATGTATCTTTTACTTTGATCGAAAAGGATTGACCAGATGATTCATATTGCAGGATTTCTAGGATATCAACAATTGTGAGCTGATCAGGGAACCCGGGCGCTCAGCATGGTGAGTACTGTGCATGGCTATCAAATGGCATGTCATAGTCTTATATCTCACTTTCACTCATAAACGTTTGGCGGAGATTATATTTGGCGTCAGTCTATCTAGGGTGTGGCTGTTTGCTTCACTTGTTATTTTGTTTTATTTTGCCAGCGTAAAATCATCGGGATTGTGTTAGATAGCACATAAGCTGACAAACTAAGATTCACACACGTTCTAGATTCACACATTCACATTTAGATTTGATCATTTTATTTATAATAATTATAATTATATCATAACACAATCCAGATTTATAATTCAATTCATTATATGTATATATACATATATACATATATATATATATATATATATATATATATATATGTAATTTAATTCACACATAATTCAATCATTTAATCATTTAGTCAAATTAGATTCGAAGATCACACATTAAGATTCGCACACAACTATGTGGCAGCAACATTTGTGAGGATAACCGCGTTCGTGTTTCAGCAGAGCTACAGAAAAAATTCAAAGGCGCTCACTTTGTCGACGAGAGTGAGTGTGAATTTTCTCATCATTAACACCAAAGTTTGGAATGAACGTGCACGCCTCATTACGGGAAAATGTAACATGCGCGGTTTTTACCTTTACAAGGCAACGCATTTGCTTGTCGTCGCTTCTCGGCCCAAAGACGTCCATGCTAACCAAATCCATCCAAGACATTTCGCTGCCATTGTTCAACTTGTCACTTCTCCCGGGTCAAGGGACGTTAGTATGTCGTCATTCTCTATTGTCTGGTGCCGGTGGCAACGCAGGTGGGTTTCAGCCAGGTGGTGGCCCACGTGTCGGACATTATCACCAGCGCAAGCTGCCGAAAACGGTACCATGTATGCCAACATTAGCTGTGGTTGTAGTTTTCTATCGCATGCTACGACCATGCATTACTGCGATGTTAATGTGTTAGGCCAGCTGGCAATGAATCATCCAAAGTCATGTGACCAGACGTCATTTAGAGCCAAAAGGCATTCTTGAATTGATACCCCCGATGGAGAGTATTTGCAACATTAAAAAGGTCTGAATAAAAAACGTATGGTCTACTGCCATTCCCTTTCTTGTTATTTGGAGATGGTTGGCCGAAGACGTGGGTTAGCGCTTTCTAGTGCCTTCGCTTTTTTGTAGACTTGCCTTTTAAACCAAAGTGTTATGCGTGTTTTAAGCTTTGGATTACAGAGCTGCACTTGCAAATGACATATGCAGTGGCATGTGCGCCAGCAGATTCATTGGGCATGGTTTTTGTGACTTGCAAAGATGGCACAACCCATTATGGGAGAGGCCACTACATAATGAAGGTAACGTGCATTTTTGCCGCACGTAGTTTAAAAGTACTTCGGTCAAACTTCACGCAAACGCGCTTCAGCTGTCAGTTTCGAATCTGGAAGGATCCGGCGAAAATTATAAAACAAGTCGTGAATCCCAATGGGTCCTTAGATGAAATTGTAAAGTCCGTCAAAATCCGTCGAAATGGGTCCTTAACGCGTACTTGGGCTACACAATAAGCAAATTATTTCCACATATCTGAGAGCTCATTCTGTGCTGCCCGAAATTATAGGGGAGGGGGAGAGAGGGATAGTTTTGCCCCATCTCAAAAGACTGGGGCGGTTTGCCTCCCCCCCCCCCCCCTCCCTCCCCGGTTACGCCGGCACCAATTGGCTTGTGGATTGGGGATAAACCAAGCGGATGTCAACAAAATACCAGGACGGACGTCGTAGCTAAGGAAAGAGAAAAAGGCTCCCAATTATGATATAGGCCCACGGTACGTAATATCTTTTTTTTAGAAAAGGCGCTTGTATTCTTAAATTAGCACAGTGATCAGGATGACACAACCGCGAGGAAGCAGAAGTGTATCAAAAATAGTGACCGGGAATCCGTCAAAAGTTGCGACGCTGAAGTCAGTCGGTCGGAGCTGTGACCGACACACGACTTCTGGGGTCTACTGAAACAGGTGTGCATGGGGGCCGGTTAGTACAGAATGACCGGGAACTGCACCGCTCGCTTCCAGAGGATGATCCCAGGATTTGACGAGGAAGTTCCGCGAAAGATAATGCTGAAGTTTCTCAGCGTTTGCGCTGGGCCTATTTTTCCTTTGACCTTTTCGACTTGTCTGTGAGTCATTTGACACATGCTTCCATGTATTATTTCCTGACGCTTGAGTGTGATGGCAGCTGGAGATTTGTATGACAGCACTTATTTGCAGTTCTTAAATCTCCCGTGAGGTGACCACACGGGCTGGAAGTGCCCGGTGGGCGAAATATCGTTGTATGCTCGCGTTTTGGCCCTTTCTCGTGCTGTTCTTGCATGTTTGTTCGCGAATGAAAATTTTTTACTGGTTTTCACATATTTACTGATAGTGCTATTCTTAAGTTATTCAACTACAAGCCTTATTTCCGTAATAGCTGGGAAGAAGTCATAACTTCTCGGATTACGTCGCACAAAACGTAGCTCGTGTTTCAACACTCAAGCTTCTTATTCTCCTCCCTTGTCTTATGTTAAATTTTCGCGACGCCCCGCTAATCCGGGGCAGGTTGCATCAGCCAGCTGCAAGTGGGCCGTGAGGCTCTCTGAGGAGGGAAGCCCCGGCCCGACGCCCAGCGCTCACCCGGAGAGGTACCTGCATAGGTCACAGTTCGGTGGACCCCCTGGCGCATGTAGTCCTGCTCCACTCCAGTGTTAACCATTTTCCCTTATCCGGCGGTCATGAAATCATCATTTCTGGTCGAAAGGGATCTAATTCAAACATCCAAACAAGTAATCGTGTTAGAAGCCCGACGTTCATTTCCTCTTTCTAGCTTCATCCTGCATCCTCGCGACGCCCCGCTTGTCCGGGGCAAGCTGCATGCGTCAGCTACGAGTCGTAGGGAGATTCAAGAGTCCCCTCCCCACGAGGTCGGGGAGGAGGACCCCGGCCGGGTGTCTAGCGTGCGCCCTGCAGAGGGGCCCCTGCACGGGCTAAGGCTCGGGGGCTGGCCCTCCAGGCACATGTAGTCCTGCCTCACCGTTATCCATTTCCCTTTATCCCACAGCCCTGAAACGAATTTTCTGGTCGAAAGGGAAAGGAAATTATCTTTTCTGGTCGAATGCAAACAAACAACAGCCAATCATGTTAGAACCTTGCATACATACTGTCACTTGCCTCTCAACATTGGTGGAGGACTAATTGACGGCCGTTACTTTTGAAAATCATGCTCACGAACGCCAAATATGAACGCCAGAAAAATCAAACTTTTGTTGACCTTGAATGCCACGTGATCAGCGAAATGACAAGATTTGAATGACCTTGTTTTAACGTCTTGCGTGCCTGGGTAGCCTGGAAATCGTCTACACATTTTCGTGGGCGTACGGCTCAGGAACTAGGGGGTGATAGGTCTAAAGGACAGGGCTGTGAACTGCACCGAATGATCTTCAAGATGGCTAGTTCAGTTTAAAACCCAGGAACACTACACTCCAGTTCAGAACACTACATTCCCCTTAGGAACACTTAACTCCGTTTAAGAACACCACTCCCCTTAAGAACACTACCCTTCCTCTAAGAACACTTCTCCCTTTAAGAACACTATATTTAAGTGGTATGTTTGCGGGCCTAACGGGCACACAGTCATTGTCTCGAAGTGCAGCTGATCGTGGCAATGATATGCTGTGTAAGCATGCAACATGCAACATCTGAGTGTTGTCCCACTAGCCGCCTTTATCACGTGAGCTCGGCCGACACTCGTCCGTGCGGTCTCACCTTATCAGGGCAGCCCCGGGTGCCAGAGTCACTGCGGACGCCGATGTCATCACGAAGCTGCTCGGGCCGCACTTACCAAACCGTGCCAAGAGATACGCAGGTCATCGGGAATCGGTCGGTCGCGCTGCCATTGAGGCGACTGCATTGACATTTTGGTCGCAAGCATGGTTAACATAGCTGCCACGGCTGGTGTCTGTTTTAGCTGTTTGACTTTTGTTCATATCATTTCATTGTATACTTCCTGTGTGTGCGTTTTCATACTGTACCTGTATGGCCTGAAACCGTAGTAGCCACCATGCGGATGGTGTCCAACATGCTGATACAGATACTGAATCATCAATATTAGATATTTCTCAACAGGTTCCCAAATAGAAATTCGAATAAAGAACTCCAATAGAAAAAGTTGAGCGAAAAAGGCGAATGGGAAAAAAATTCGAGGGACGAAAAGTCACAGGAATAAACGTCGACAGGGATAATAGTTGAATAGGAGAAAAGTCAAAGGACAGCATGTCGATAGGTATAAGAGTAAAAGCGGAATAATTCGAAAGATGGAATATCGACATGGGCAAAGGTCAACTCTGATTTGTAAAAAAACACCAGAAGTTAAAATGGTTTAAAACGGAGAAGTGATCATGTCAATTAGGAACAGTTGTGATTGGAAAAGTCACCATTTATGGCACGTGAAGCAGTCAGGGTGTGAAAAGTCATGATTTTGTCGTCGGTGGAAAACAGGATTGGCGCCCGGTATGGGAGGTGGATAAAGCTGTGGCCATGACGTGAGACAGATGGGACTGTATGGGACGGGACGGAAGCGGGCGGGACCGTGCGGGACCAGATCACGCCAGAATGGATCGGCCGAGAACAGACGAGATGGGACCTGATTAAATGGTGCCAGACTAAACCATGTGATACCGGATAGGATGGGACCAGACCACGCCAGAATGGATCGGCCGAGAACGGACGAGATGGCACCTAATTGAATGGTACCGGATGAGACCATGTGGTACCGGATGGGATGGGACCAGATACGGAACCTTTCAACCCGCTTATATCTGACCATTAAGAATTGACAGAGTTTTGGCTGGGTTATGGGTCACTTGCCGCGGTTGTGCGGGTCAACAATTTAAGGAAGCAAAATATTGTATTTTTTGTTGTTTCTTACGTTTTAAAATCATCCAAAAACCAGGGTGACCTGTCAAACGCAAAACAATTTTGAAAGAATTTTTTCGGATTGACA